AACGTGATCTCGCGGATCTGATGTACCATCGTACTTTGGAATATCAGGCATCTTAAACTTCTTAGGAATTGGGAGGGGGGCAGCACTTGGCTTCCATGGTTGTTGCGAATATTTATCTATATCTACTCCCTTGATCACGGGTGGTACTCCGGGTATTTGTTCTATGCGTTCATTTTGCTCCTTAAGCTGTTTCTGCAAGGTTAGTACTAGATTTTGTAAATCAGAATTAACTGGATTACCTGGGTCTCCCTCTTGTGTTTCACTAGGGGTTCCACCGCTGCCTGACTTAACCAATCTAGAACGAGGATGCTCCAAAGTATTGTTGTTTGGGGTAGATGTTGGCGGAGCAGCAGGTAATTGGCTAACAAAAGCCTGAAGAGCTTTATTGACTTGAGAGGAAATAAGTTTTTGCAAAGCCTCATTCATGGTTTCAACATTTTCGTATTGAGCCTGTCCATCTGTGTGAGATCCATCAGGAGTGCCTTCACGAGACCGTCGTGGGGAACCCCGTGGAGAGCCTCGTGGAGAGTCTCCCTGAAGTTGTTGGATTGTTTGAATTTCTGGGTTTCCTTGCGTGTTGTCATTGTTGTTTGACATGATTGATGCAATCAAGAAAATTCAAGGTTGAAGTATAATTGATTATCAGATTCCCGGTAACGGAACCAATTTGTTTAACCAAAAAATAGGTTTTTAGTCAAAGCTAGAAATTAGAAGAATCGGGTTATTGATAATCGAAAAAGTAAATAAAGAAAGAAATTTTAGAATAGCCAAGTATGAAAGCTGGTAAATCAAAGTATATTCCAATAGTCACCTCCCCCTACAATTGTTTGTTTCTTCCCTTTTTATAGCTCTTTTAGGATACGAGCCTTACCTTTGTCATAATAATGCTATTATGGGCAATTAATGACTTTAAATGTTACGTTATGCAATCATATACATTAAATACATATTCCTTAACGTTTTCAATAATTAATACTCATTAAATGCTGTATCTAGGCTCCTTTTTGCTGTCAGATTCATTCCTTTGATTCTTCACTATCTTTGAGTTTTAAATGTCTTGAATAGGTACGAGCGTTGAATTACTTGTATGACTGCTCGAACCCCCTCCATTTAATTTACTTGTATCTGTTGTTGCTCATATCTGTTGTTGCTCGTATCTGTTAACCAACCTTATTGCTTTGACTGTTTGACCAGTCTATATGTCATGACACGTCACCATATACATAAATATAATTTTCCCCAATACACTCTTGACCATCTATGATAGCCAATATCATAGAGGTATGCTTTAACACGAGGGTCTATCTCTTCAATCTTCGACATCCTTTCATTAAATTCATCCATAGTGTACGACCCTGCCGTAGCAAAGTACAATTCATTTAATTGTAGATGACCCTTCTTGAACTTTGCCCTTATATTTGTCCAAATATGCCACACGCAAGAGTAGTGTGGCACGCCCGGATAGACAATTGATGTTGCCTTCAGGATACTCTCATTCCTATCTGAAACAACACACATTGAAGTTCTTTCACCATATGCTTGCTTGAATTGCTCAAAAAACCACTTCCACGATGCGTCGTTTTCCGAATCAACCACAGCATATGCCAAAGGCAATATTGTACCTACATTATTAGTAAAAAAATAATTAACTGGCAGCTTTGAAAATGCATATAAAAACACAAATACATATAAACTATAATATATCTACAAAGAATCTACAATATATCTACAATTTATAAACTGCCTACAAAATAACCATAAAATAACTACAATTTTACCTGCTGCATCCATTGTGCTTGCTGTCAGCATAATTCCCCTGTAGGCTGTCTTTAAGAATGTCCCATCAACCACTACTACTGGTCTACAATATTCCCAACCACTTATTGATGTACAAAGAGCAACAAATGCATATAAGAAGCATTCATCTGTTGTCTTCTTCAATTTAACAACTGAACCAGGATACGTCTTCTCAAGAATATAAAAATATTTTGATAATTTGTTGTAGGAGTCAGCCGGATGACCTCTCAATAACTGTAAAGCCTTTTCCTTTGCCCTCCATGCTTGCATGTAGCTTAGGTTCACTCCGTGTTGGGATAACATGTCAGTTTGTATGTCCTTCGATGTGTAAACTGTCTTAGGATCACAATAGTTTGGCATGACCATGCTACCAACTACAACTGCAGTACGTTTGCGCTGTATGAATGTATCGTCCATTAAGGTGCATGTGTGTTGTTGGTTGAAACTCCTGATCTTGAACATTACAGAATCATTAATTGATGTTGCCTTGAAGTGCCAATTACAGTTTTCTGCAACGCATATAAGCCAGTAGCTACAAAAAAATATATTTATAATACAGGTTATCAATGTAGATGTAACAAAAGCACTGTTTTAACATAAAGTAACACACTATACAATAGAACTACTTTTCATCTACATATCACAAGGAAAAAACTGTTTATAATGATCTTTTCACCATTAATATCTTCATACCTTCTGTGGCTAGATCTTTTAACCCTAAATTGGAACTTGTGCATGACAGAATAGTGCCTCATTGCATTTGCAATTGTTTGCTTGTCTTGATACACTTGTCCTTCTTCGATAACACTTTGTCTACCTTCAGTTATTATTTCACTTTGATTTTCCTCTATAACGGGAGAGGCTGGCATATCAAGTAACTGTATTATCCCGGACGAACCTGCATGAAAATAAAGAAAAACAGTGTCATTCCAATATTGTAGAATCTTTGTAGATAAATTGTAGATGAATAGAAAATTTTGTAGTCAATTTTTTTTTCAACATGGATTGTAGCTTAATTGTAGTCTAAATGTAGTAATGGTGTTGATAATCACGAAAATAATATTGCTTTATACCCCCAAAAATTAATTTGTAGTTTATTTGTAGATAAATGTAGGAATTTTGTAGGCATTATCGTAAAATCAGACTTCCATAGAATTTGAAACATAACAAACCTGCACTTGTGTTCTCATTTGTAATAGCCAATTCCATATTGAAATCTCGTACACTTATGAGTAACGGATACGATCCTAAGTTTTTATTCTCCTTTTTTGTCTCCATATACACACTAACCCCCATATTGTTCCTAATCTCCATTGGAGGACAATTCTCATTCACAATGTATTTGATTTCTACAATTTTTTCCGAAGTATCAATCATTAATTGCTCTGCAATTGTAGAAATCAACAAACTGTAACTTGCATCCTCATCGAGAACAATGCCATCAACTTGAAAATCTCTAAATCTGCCATAGCTATCCCAATTGCCATTAAAATGTAGCATTATTGGAATTTTGGACATGATTGCGTGACGTTGCTGTGGTATTCTTCAATATTTTGTCGCTTTTTTATTTTTTTGGATTGACAGAAAAAGACGAAGAACAGAATTTGACAGAAAAAGACGAAGAACAGAGCTTCTGAGATTTGTAGAACTGATTTCTACAATTTGAAATTTAGCTTCTGATTTCGACGAACTGACAATATGAGTTTCTGATTTCTAATTTCGATGAACTGAGAATTTGAGTTTCTGATTTCTGATTTCGACGCACTGAGAATGTGAGAATATCGAAGAACAGAATTTGATTATAAGTTGAAGATAAAGGATTTCCGTTATATGATTTGATCTGATTTACGCCAAATCTTTTTAGAATATTCTTTTCCTGAATTTTAGCTCCACAAATTAGGTAGATTCAGCTCCTATTAATTAGTATTTAATGATTGGTATAATAACTCTAAAAAAAATGTGGACAGGGCGGGTAAATTAGAAACTGTGCACATTTTTGGTAATAAAGTTTCATATATGGTATAGGAAGGAAAAAATCTCCTTTAGAAAATGTAATAGTATATTTTGGACCAAAACTAGCTCTTTGAATTTTGGGAATTTGCCAAAATATGGATAAAATTTATGAACAAATATGTATTTGCCAAAAAAAAAAAATCAAATAAATTTTGGCAAAATTTATAGCCAAACGGGTCTAAATTATATCGAGTTATTATGCGTTCTAAGGGTGTCGAAGACGTAGAAGTATACAATAGGGATTCGTAGCCCTTATTCAACAGGAAGTTTAATATTTTTCTAATGGCAGGTTTTGCAATAGAGTTTTTCCAAATCTCATTGCTTAAGCTTCAACCAAAATACACTCCAATGAAACAATGAGTCGTAAAGAAAATGCACCGCCCAATACCCACTTCCATTATTTGTTGGTGAAAAGAAAAAAAGAAAATTTAAAAAAGTGCTATTGATTATCGATTAAAGAATAGACCTACTGCTTGGCTGAATTAGTCGTTTCATATTGACTTCTTTGTTAGAACATAATATGAAACGTCACGGATTTCTATTTTCCTGGGGGTTTAATAGCGGCAAGCTTGTCTGTTCCCCCAAAACAAAATTTTAAAAAATTTCACAAAATAAATACTTAACAAATTTAGTCTTGCCGCTTGCCGCACCTTCACTTACAGGAAAAAAGAAGGGGAAAATCATGAAGTACTAATCTTCAGAAGCAGAGTTAGCCCTTCGGATACGTGTTCGGGTGAACTCAGTAACTTTTGACCAAATCCTATATTTGTCTTGATAAATTATTAGATTATGTATAAATTATTAATTTAAATTCAATAACTTAAAAGAATTATAATACTGAATCCATAAGTTTCAAATGCTGGCTTCGCTCCGCTAATCTTCATTCTTGTTATTGGAAAGTAGCATATGACTTTTACAACTTTTTTTCCACGATGAACCACTTGGTCAAGTTTGGAATTCCTTCATGCAGAAGTAGACTAAATTGGTGTACCAATTATTTCCACTTTGTAGTGTATTAAGAAAGCGATAGCATGGAAAATGCAGTGAATTCCTTAGTGCCCGGCTGCTAAGAACTTTCAGTCAACCTTCTACCAAAATGAAAAAAGAAAATTATATGCGAAAAAGAACTAAATAATATTTCAAGAGGAAAGAGTCCCTAATTTGTTAAACGGAAAAGGGCCTGATATACCCCTCTACTATGATATATTGTTCAATACCGTCCCCCATTATACTTTCCGTCCCTTAAAGCCCTTACCGTCCAACAAAGTTTTATATATGCCCCTATTTTAACGGCTGGGACACGTGGCACGCTCTGAGAAGACCAAGAACCCACTACACTAAATAAAATCAACCCGCTCCAATTCCGTTGCCCCGCCCGCCTGACTCATAGACCCGACCAACTAAGTAAATACACTAAAATCACCGTAAATAACACATGAACAAAAAAAAGATCAAAAATTGAGAAAAAGGAACGACGAACGGGTTGGGTTCCATTGGTTTCCATCAGTGACAACATTGCGGATCTGAGACTCAAAAAGGTAAGTTATTTCTTAAAAAATTTCATGATTCAGCTAAGTAAAGTGGTGTTTCTGCTAATTTTGTTGAAGAATGTGCGATTTCTACCTAATGTTTCGAGCTAGGGTTTTTTTTCCCTGGTAAATATGCATATTTCTGTTATTATACATGCTTCCTGCTCTGTAGTTTGTCGATTTAATGTTATTTTGTCATGCATGTGCTTCCTTTGAGGTGGTCCTTTAATTTCTTATTTCTGATGGTCTATTATTGCTTTGAGTTGTGTCTTTTTGCTCGTGTATGATCGAACGGGGTCCAAATATCTCTTATGCATGTGATTAAGTACATTGGAAAGTGGTAGATATGCATTCTTTATTGTAATGTTCTGCATTCTTTACTGTTTTTTCCCCAATGTTCTGCTTTCTTTACTGTTTTTTTCCCATTCTTTATTGTTTGATTTTGAATTCTTTATTAAGTGGGGTCCATTTTGTATAAAATATTACTTTATGGTCATAAAGTTTTTTACATTATCTTATTTATGTTTGTAGATGATTCTTGTTGACCTAGTTTTCAATTATGGGGGTGACTGGATTAAAGAGCCACACCTTGTCTATTCAAAGAAGTTGGTCCATATCTGGAAAGATAAAGATTCTGACCTATTGTCCTTTAAAGATATAGTAGATGAATACATTCTTCTGTTAGGGTATATAGGGGTACAACAATTAATAATTGCTGGACCATCTGGTAAGTATTATGAAGTTGAAGGAGATATAGGGATTAGACAACTTTTATGCCTTGTCTGTGATGAATTTTAAGGTACTAAATGTCTATGCTGTAGATGAGTGTGAAGAAAGTGTTTGTGTCCTAAACATTGTCAACCATACTGAGGCTTATATATCTCAAGTATTAGTTGGTACTGATAATAGTAGTAGTGAAGATGAAGATCAGGCAGGTTCTGATGGCCTGGCCTATGATTCTGAAGAGTTAGAACAATTTGAGGCTAAAAGGAAAAAACATCCTAGTGAAAACCTTAATGAATACAAAGAGATCTTTCAAGGACATTCCTGAAGCTAGAAAGTTCATGAACCTTTATTCATTGGTTAATCAAAAGAAATTAAAGCTGGTGAAAATTGACAAAATTAGAGTGAGGTATAAGTGTGTAGGGGGCTGCCCATTTAAATGTCTTTTTCCATTAAAAAGGGCAATGAGGGGTGTAGAGTGAAGACACTAAATTCAAGACATGACTGTAATCCTGCTTTTGATAACAGTAGGGTTGAATATAGCACTATAGCTTACTACTTCAAGAAGAAGTTGCAAGACAACCCTAAGTATAAGGTGAAAGAAATGAGGGCAGACCTGAAGAATTCATTTCAACTTAATGCTAGTAAACCTAAGTTTAAAAGGGCAAAGAGAAAGATATTGGAGAATTTGGAAGGGAGTTTCACTGATGATTATAACAAGCTTGAAGCATATGCCAATGCTTTGAGGGACAGTAATCCTGGAAGTGATGTTGTTATTAATTTATCTAAAGAAGCATTGTTGCAAGGCAAAAGGAAATTCCTTAGGATGTACATTTGTTTTCATGCATTGAAGATGGGGTACAAAGAGGGCTTGAGACCATTTATTGGGCTTGATGGTACATTCTTAAAAAGGAAGGCTAAAGGACAGCTACTAGTTGCTGTTGGGAAAGATAACATGAATTATTTTTATCCACTTGCTTGGGCTGTAGTTGATAGAGAAACAAAAAGAAGTTGGACTTGGTTTCTGGAGCTTCTTCACAATTCATTGGACTTGAATATGGGTAATGGAGTCACATATATGTCGGATATGCAGAAGGTATAACTGTTTCTTTACTGTTTTTTGTCACAATTCTTTACAATTTTTTACTAACTTTTCTTTACTATTTTTTGTCACAACTCTTTACTGTTTTTTACTAGCATTTTGATATGTACAGGGATTAATGGAGGCAATAAAGACAGTACTTCCTGAAGTAAAGCATAGATTCTGTGTGAGACATGTAGAGTCAAACTGGTGCAAAGACTATAGAGGTCTTGAAATGAAGAAGTTACTTTGGTGGAGTGTTTGGGCCACTTATGAAGAAGACTTCAAGGATCAGTTGAGCAAGTTGGGACAGTTGAAGGAAGCAGTTGTTACAGACCTGTTAAAGTACCCACCCCAGAGTTGGTGTAAGGTATACTTTGACACAGTTTGTAAAAATCAAGGTGTGGATAATAATTTTACAGAATCTTTCAATTCTTAGATATTAGAAGCTAGATACAAGCCCATCATCAAGATGTTGGAAGATATAAGACTCAAAATAATGAATCAGTTGAGAAAGCATGAAGATGAGGTGAGAACATGGAAGACATACTACAATCCTCAAAGCATGAAGCTTTATAATGACTATCTGAAGATAGCTCATTCCATTGAGGAGATTTCAATGGTGATGATGGATTTGAAATAGTAGAAGGGGTTGACAAATTCATTGTCAATATATAGGGAAAAAGATGTACATGTAGAGGATGGGATCTTTTAGGAATTCCATGTCCTCATGCAATAAAATCATGCGTGTATTTAAAGGAATACCCTTTGAAGGAGATGCACTGGTGGTATAGCAAAGAAGCCTTTCTACTTACTTACAAGCATAAGTTACAACCTGTACCTGGTGAGAAATTCTGGAAACTAGATCCATCTCAAGCCATGGAACCTCCAGAACTGGTGAAACGAGCTGGCAGGCCTAAAGTTAAAAGAGATAGACAAAAGGATGAGGCAATCAAGAGGCAAGGGGAGTGTAGTCAGTCTAGAAAAGGCAGAATTATGACTTGTGGCAATTGTGGAGAGGCAAACCATAATGCAAGGGGATGTAAAAAGGTATAGATCCAATACTTAGAAATGAACTTGTTATTATACTTAATTGATATTAACTATTTCTTTTTTACATTAAACATCCAATTAATGTGCAGAAAGTAACAAGGAAGAAGCAGCCATCAAATAAAAATGATGGGAAGACCTAGGGGTAAGAATCCAGCCAAAAGACAAAGGACTTTGATTAATGAAGACACTGATGATGATGAGGTATTGGCAGATATCAATTTATCAGCACCCCAAGTATCCCAAACAAGTGAAGGCATTGGCAGCAGTCAATCATTTATCTTTATGCCTACTCCAACTCTGGATGTTATTTCTGATTTTAATGATGGTCCTGAACCTCCATTAAGGCCTAGTATTATATCAGAATCACAAACTAGACTTATGGAAGGGCAGAAGGTTGGTATGAACACTGGGACAAGGACAATCAAGTTTACAGGAGATAACACAGGTGTACGTGAACCTGCTGATCTTCCATACACCCCAGTAAACTTGACATGGAAGGGAAAGGCAGCAATCACTGGGAATCAATTGGAGATGCAAACAAGACAAAGAATTGGGAAGTTGAAGACAAGAAAGGGGCCTTGATAATCTAATTAGGACTTGTTTTGTTAGTTGGTAGCTAAAGTGAGACTTAAACACTTGGTTTATTTTTGTTAGCATTTGGAGTTGGATGCCTTGTTATGACTAAGGTTGAGTGAGTTTTTGAAGTTATAGCAGTGGCATCCACTTCTCCAATTTGATGTAATAGGCAGAATTATGACTTGTTGAATTATGTAGTTTGGTTTATCTGAGTTGAAGTTACTACCAGTTTTTGATGCCTTAATGCCCAGCTTTATGGCCTTACTGCCCAGTTTTTGTTGCTTAGTTTTTGTTGTACAATTTTTGTTGCCCAGTTAAAGTTACTGCCCAGTTTTATGTTGCGACTTGTTATTGCTGTCCTTAAGCAGTTTTTGTTGTATTTGTTACTGCAGTCCTGATGCAGTTTGTATTTGTTACATTGAGTTTTGTCCTAAATCAGTTTATGCCCAGTTTTGTGTGTGCTTGAAGGAGCTCATTTTGAGCATCCCAGATATATGTTCGAATTGGGATCACTATTTGTTAGCGTTTGGTCAACAATGACTTAACAAATTCAACATTAAACATCTAATGGAAACTGCCAGAATTATCATAAACAACATTTCAATAATCATTAAGTTAACAATGTCATTACAATACAAAATCCAACCATTAAACATCTAATAGAAACTGCCAATATTCACGGACATATTTCAACACAATAAAATAACAAGTTCAACATTCCAATATTAAACTGTAGATACAACATTCCCCTTCTACAAAATAATTTCAACATAATTTCACTTCATTATAGAGGAGAATGCAAATACAACTATTAGCGAGCATAAAATTGTGATGATCATCTTCAACTTTACCACTTTTGCTTCCAATTCCATATTTTTTTTAACTTCAAATTTCTTCATAGAATCTATGAGTTCAATCTTTTCAGTCAGCCCGTCTTTTTCAACCTTAAGAGCTTCCAAAGAAACATTCAACATCTTAATCTCGTGATTTGCAGCTTCTAATCTTACATTGTTAATTGCAATTAAAGCAGCATCAGGATACTTTTCATCATGCCATTCCCAAAACCCACATCCTTCACTCTACACAAACCACAACAAAATATATTCAAAGATTGAACACTATAAAGCTGGGAATTGTGACAGGAATCGAAATAGAGAAATAAAAACTACCTCGGGTTTAGGACATTTGTAAAATCTTCTACCAGGGTTTAAGAGAGTTTTTGAAGTAAAGTGATTAGCAACTTCCCCACATCGGCAAATCCTCTTCGACGAACAGTTATTTTCCGACATTGTACAGCAGTTTCTGACCAGTTGAATAGTTAGCAATGGGAGCGATGAAGAAGCCCTAGAATTTTGATGTTTTGATTGTGTTTTTACAGTGGGTTTTTGATTTATAGGTTTATCAGAATGGGAACGATGAAGAAGCCCTAGAATTTTGGTGTTTTGTTTGTGTTTTTACGGTGGTTTTTTGATTTATGGGTTTATGAGTCGGGCGGGCGGGGCAGTGGAATTGGGGCAGGTTGGTTTTATTTAGTGTAGTGGGTTCTTGGTCTTCTCAGAGCGTGCCACGTGTCTCAGCCGTTCAAATAGGGGCATATATAAACTTTGTTGGACGGTAAGGGCTTTAAGGGACGGAATGTATAACGGGGGACGGTACTGAACAATATATCATAGTAGAGGGGTATATCAGGCCCTTTTCCGTTGGTTAAAAGAAACTTTTTCTGGTATGAAGAGTTATTCTTTTAGTAACCAAAAAATAAAAGGTTTAATAAAGGTTGACACGCATGAGAATTGAGTCAAAAAATAGAAGTGGTGAATTTCTCTCCATCTTTGCTAGGTTTTGTTTATCAAATTTTCAGCGGCAGTTATACTAGAAGAGCCTGTTGAATTTCAGAGAATATATCAATATTGACTAAGTATTTTTTAAAACGGGAAAGGGCCAAATATAGCCCTGTATTTTCGAAAAAAGATTTAAATATATCCTTCGTTATACTTTGGGTCCAAATATATCCTTACCGTTACACTTTGGGCTTAAATATATTCCTCATTAAACAGAGGGACACGTTGTTGGGTTTTTAAGCTTATTTTAGCTTAAAAGAGGGTGAGTAAGAAATGGAGGGAAATAAAATATTTGAGTCTCCCTCCTTGACAAAGGGACATTGTCCCATATTGGAGGAGGAAAAGACTTTTGATGGGTATATATACAATTGCTCTTCTTCTAGCTGTTAAAGAGTTAAGAAGAAGGCAAGCCTCGCGTCGCCGTCGTCGTTGCTCGCTCGGCTTCGGCTTCGGATTTGGTCAAATTATCCGTTTTTGTAACGGAAAATTAATATTAAGTCCAAATTATCCATTTTTTGAAATGGAAAATTAACTTTCCTCTGTGTTTGTATTCCCGTTTTAATTTGCGTAAATGGCCATTTACGTTATGGTCGTTTTACGTGAACAGTCATAACAGACCTCTGAAGAGTTGCACCTCTTCATTTGAACTCAACATGTTGGCTATAAATAGCAGTCCATTCTCTCGGATTTTGCATATGAAATTCTGAATTCTCCTCTTTTCCTCTGCATTGTTTTTAAAGCAACAGTAAGTGTGATTGGCTACCGATCATTGTGTTCCCTGAAACACTGGGGTTTGAAGTACCGCTACACCAGTGTGTAATTCGTTCTATCCTGCGAGAAAATAATCCACAACCACGGGTACTAGGAGGGATTAAGTTCCTTAAGGAAACACTGTGAATTCCTTGGGCTCGGATTAAATTCTGTTTCTTCTATATTTCTGTTTATACGTTATTTTTTCTTCTCCAGAATTATTTTATGAATACAGTTTACTAACAAGCTTAAGGAACTTAATTATTTTCTGTATTTGTGTTATACTCATTGTTCTGGAGACTAAATACTTTGTAGTTTTCTACTCCCGTTTTGGAGATTAAAGCCTTCGTGGCGATTTGCTACTCCATTGGAGATTAAAATCTACGTGATTTTCTACTCCAGTTTATTCGGTTTGAAGATATAAAAACTTTAACGTTTATTAAACGTTTGTTTGTGTCATTCTTTTACAGAAATGTCGAATGACAACGGAAATCAGACTGTTCCTATGGTGACTGCCAATGCATCGACAAGCCGAACAACACCGGCATTGGCACCGGCAGAAAAACCCAAAAATATTTTCGGGATTGATTTCAAGCGGTGGCAGCAGAAGATGTCCTTATACTTGACGACTTTAAGTCTACAGAAGTTCATTAAGGAAGATGTTCCTGTTCTGCCCGACGAAACTCCAGACAATGAACTCTTTCTCGTGATTGAGGCGTGGAAGCATTCTGATTTTCTATGCAAGAATTACATTCTCAGCGGACCGGAGGACAATCTGTATAACGTCTATAGTAATGTGGAGACGTCAAAAGAACTGTGGATTGCGCTTGAAAGGAAATACAAAACTGAAGATGCCGGGTTGAAGAAATTCGTTGCCGCTAAATTTTTGGACTACAAAATGGTAGATAGCAAGTCTGTTATTATCCAAGTCCAGGAATTGCAAGTGATTATTCACGATCTCCTTGCTAAAGGTATGAGTCGAATTAATACTGATGTTGAAAGTATTAATTATATTATTTTACTAAAAAAAATTTCATTGAAGGTCTTGTCATCAATGAAGCGTTCCAAGTTGCTGTGATGATTGAGAAGTTGCCTCCTTTGTGGAAGTACTTCAAAAATTACTTGAAACACAAATGCAAGGAGATGTCACTTGAAGATCTCATTGTTCGGTTGAGAATCGAAGAGGACAACAAAGCTGCTGAAAAGAAAGGCCGTAGAAACTCAACAATAATGGGAGAAAACATTGTTGAGGATGCTCCTCAAAATAATAGAAAGAGGAAGAAGGCTTTTGGACCGAAAAGCAACCCAAGTAAGAAGCGGTTCAACGAAAATTGCTACAACTGTGGGAAAGCTGGACACAAATCTGCAGATTGTCGTGCTCTAAAGAAAGACAAGAAGAAGGGTCAAGCAAACATGGTTGAAAAGCATGAAGATATTGATGACTTGTGTGTTATGCTTTCTGAATGCAACCTGGTGGGAAATCTTAAGGAGTGGTGGATTGATTCTGGAGCCACTCGCCATGTTTGTGCTGTTAGAGAAGCAGTTGCTACATATGCTCCCGTTGGACCCGAAGAGACGCTTTCTATGGGAAATTCTGCAACGGACAAAATTGAAGGATGTGGCAAGATATTTCTGAAAATGACTTCTGACAAAGTGGTGACTCTAAACAACGTCCTTCATGTTCCCGAGATTAGGAAGAACTTAGTCTCTGCTGGACTTCTCGTTAAGAACAGGTTTAAGTGTGTTTTAGTATCTGATAAGGTTGTAATAAGTAAGAATGAGATGTTTGTAGGAAAAGGTTACCTCACTAAGGGCCTTTCAAATCGAATGTAATGGTCG